AGAAATCCCGAAGCCTTAAAATATTGAGAGAAATCTCTGAAAAAAAGTCAGAGGAACTTTTGACCAGTTAGTAGATATTCTTATAACTTCTGGTTCTAAAGTGCAGTGATAAATAGAGTGATACGATTGAGGCTACTTTATGACAAAATTTGAAGTCAAACATTTGCAGTAGAGGTAGTGTTAACGGTGACAACAGCAGTAGGAATAGCAAACATTGACTGAGGACTTCGTATGTACCTTGCAGATTCTTGTAAACTAAGCCATGATAACTTGCTCAAGAAATCTGTTGAGAAGTCTGTCTCTTTCCTCTCCCTCCCTCCCTCCCTCTTCCTCCCTCCCTCCCTCCCTCCCTCCCTCCCTCTTCCTCCCTCCCTCCCTCTTCCTCCCTCCCTCCCTTCCTTCCTTCCTTCCTTCCTTCCTCTTTCAAGAGCAGGAGACTTAGTGAAGAGACAGTGAAGCAGGTCCCAGATGGAAGGAAAAGCTAGACACCAGGCCTCAGGATCAACAGGACCCAGGGTAGCAATGGGCGTCCAAGTGGCATGGACACTCTCTCTAGGGCACTGCAACAGGATGCCTCAGCCCTTACTAGGGAATGTTCTTTCTTAAAGTGTCCACTTTAGCAGTGTTAAAAGAAAACAAATTTTTATTTTAAAAAATGTTTATTAGGTGCTTATTATGCAAAGTCTCATTTAATCCTGCCACATGTGTGTGGTCATTGTTTCCAGATTTACAGCTGTAGGAACTAGTGTCAGAGTGAGATCTTGGGGCAGGTTTTATATGACTCCAAAGCCCATGCTCAACCTCTGTATCCCCGACAATGTGGGAGATGCCACTTTGATACACTTGCTGCTATCAGGTGGGCCAGGGACAAATATTAAGTAACTTTGATTCTCTGGCACAGATGTTGGACCCTTTCAGTTCTTCTTCTGTGTTTCTGATTATACCAAGAGAAAGTCAGTTTGGTCCAAGTTTGTCTTAAATGCCTCTCTAATAAGTACATGTTAATCTACTTTCTCCATGAAAAGAGGAGTGTATCTAAATAGAATTTATTCAATACTTTGCTTTTTAATGCATTTATTTTTATGGATACTATCTATTTGTGACATGTGATAAGGGTTTTGCACTTCAGTAATAACGAAAGGTTTCTAGTTAAATTTTTTGACTTACATTGTTTTAAAGAAAAATAAAAAGTCATGTCCTACTTTTCTTTATCTTCTTTCCACTCCAAAATAACTCCTTCTTCTATTTAGGTCTCCTCTGTTCCTCTCCCCTCTCCCCCCACCATTAATCCCCTATTTCTGCAAAAACTGGGAGGGTTCTTTATCAGCAGTTGTGGAGCAAGTTGTGGAATTATGGTTTTTTCATTTTTAATTTTAATTATAAAGTAATATAGCTATAGTTATTATGATTAGAGAAATGGATTTGCCTTAATCTTACCATTCTAACACAGCTACTATATCATTTTTCTTTCCTGTTTTTACCTCTTGTGCATTTGTCTAATAATGATACTTAACATTCACTGACTATTCGTTATAGGCACTGTTGTTAGCATTTTGCAATCCAATAACTTGTTTAATCTTTTTAAGCATGTTATGATATAGATTCTGTAATCCCTGTTCTGCAGATGAGGAAACTGAAGCATGGTGAATTTACGACACTTACTGTAAGGACTTGAATCCTGGGAACTGGTCTTCTGAACTTGGACCTTTCACTTCTGAACTGCGCTGTTTCCCATATTTAGCTGTGTTTTATTAGCACTGTTATTATTATGGCCTATACTTATTTTTTCTGCTTTTCACCTAACCCTTACTTACAAACCTTTTTCTCTTGCTATATAGTCCTCAGATTTTTAAAGAGTCAACTATATTTTGGTCTAATTTATATAAAATAAATTGCACCCATTTTAAGTGATCAGTTGGTAAGTTCTGATGAATGCCTACACCTAACTACCATTATAATTATGATAGAAAACATTCCTGTTGCCCTAAAGAGTTCCCTTGTGACCCTTCCCAGTTATTTCCTCCCCATGCTCCGCAAGGCAACTAATGATCTGCTTTCTGTCACCATTTTTGTTTGCCTTCCTCTTCAACCCATGAGTTATTTAGAAATAATATTTAATTTCCAAAATTTGTGAATTTTTCAGGTATCTTTCTGTTATCAGTTTCAAATTTAGTTCCATTGGGGTTAGGGAACATATTTTATATAATTTCAGTTCTTTCAGATGTGTTGAGTTTTGGTTTATGGCCTAGAATTCAGGTTGGCAAACTTACTGTTTAAAGGGCCAGATAGAAAATATTTTAGTTTTTGTGGGCCCTTTGACCTCTGTCATAACTACTCAACTCTGCTGTTGTAATATGAAATACTTAATATGAATGGAAGTGGCTGTGTTCTGATAAAATGTTCTTTATAAAAACAGGCAACAGGTGGGCCTTAGCCTTTTGGCTGTAGTTTGCTGACCTTTGGCCTAGAACCTGGTCTATTTTGGTGCTTGTTCTATGTGCATGTGAGAAGAATCTGTATTCTTCTGTTGCTGGGTGGAATGTTCAAAAAAATGAAGTTGCCTGATAGTGTTTTTCAGATCTTCTATATCCTTGCTGATATCTGTCTATTGAAACTACCGATTACTTGAGAGGAGTGTTGAAATCTCTAACTGTATTAAGGGTGTATCTATTTCTCCTTTGATTTTACCAGTTTTGCTTTGTGTATTTTTCTTTTAATAAGTGATTGTTAAGTTTTTAAAAAAATATATTTATTTATTTGGTTGCACCAGGTCTTAGTTACAGCAGGCGGGCTCCTTAGTTGCAGCTCGTGGGTTCATTAGTTGCAGCTCACCGGCTCTTTAGTTGCGGCATGCAGCCTCTTATCTGTGGCATGTGAACACTTAGTTGCGGCATGCATGTGGGATCTAGCTGCCTGACCAGGGATCGAACCTGGGTCCCTTGCATTGGGAGCATGGAGTCTTAACCACTGTGCCACCAGGGAAGTCCCTGCTTTGTGTATTTTGAAGCTCTGTTGTTAGGTGCCTACACACTTAGGATTATTATGTCTTCTTGGTAGACTGACTACTTTATCATTATGTAATGTCACTTTCTATTCCTAGTAACACTTGTTCTGAAGTCTACTTTTTCTGATAATAATATAGCTCCTCTAGTTTACTTCTCTCTGGGATCACACACTTCTGTACTGCCTGATGTATAATGTCTGAAAACAGCTAATTCATATATTTTGTCCAGTTTTCTAATTTTTTGAAGAGGATAGGTAAGCCTAGTCCCTGTTATTTTATCATGGCTGGAAGCAGAAGTCTGTAACTGTCTTTTTAATAAACGTACCACTTGCCATCAGTGGCTATACTTTTATCCTCTTAGTTATGTCCTTTGTGGAGACCATTTAGTTTTCTTTCTTTTACTGTTTTTTCTATCATAAACAATGAACATCTAATGACTATAGTTTCTCACTATTTTGATTATTTCCTTGGAGTGATTCCCAGAAAGTAGAATCATTGAGTCAAAAATTAAAAACACTTTAATATATTTTGAAGTATATTGCCATTTACTTTCCAAATATACCTTCTAATGGCTTTCCAGAATTACCAGTTTACAATTCCATAGATATATGTGAGGTATAAATTTCACCAATATTTAGATAACTATGTGTACTTAAAAAAATCTGTATCATTGCTTACTTTTAAATTTCTTTGAATTCTGGAAAGGTTAAATATGCTTTTATATGTATTCTTGTATTTTTCTTTTTATCTGTTTGTATCTTTTGCTTATATGTCAACTAGGATATCAGTATTTTTCTGAGAATAAAGATAAAATTATTTGTGGCAAATATTTTTAAAGTCTGTTGTTGGCCTTTAAGTATTTTTATTTATTTATTTTAATGAATGTATTTATTTATTTTTGGCTGTGTTGGGTCTTCGTTGCTGCACACGTGGGCTTTCTCTAGTTGCGGCGAGTGGGAGCTACTCTCAATTGTGGTATGAGGCCTTCTCATTGCGGTGGCTTCTCTTGTTGCTGAGCACGGGCTCTAGGCATGCGGGCTTCAGTAGTTGTGGCCCACAGGTTCAGTAGTTGCAGCTCGCAGGCTCTAGAGCGTGGGCTCAGTAGTTGTGGCATATGGGCTTAGTTGCTCCGTGGCATGTGGGATCTTCCCGGACTAGGAATCCAACCTGTGTCCCCTGCATTGGCAGGTGGATTCTTAACCACTGCGCGACCAGGGAAGTCCCTAAGTATTTTTAAAATGTAGTTATTATCTATTCTTTTGTGATTTCTTCTACAGCTTATAAGTTTTGGAAGTCCTTTCCAGGTTTGATAAATACTTAATTATGTTTTCATTTAAAACATATTAAATTCTTTCATTCAGCAATTATTTACCTGTCACCTACTCTGAGCCAGTCCTTATACTAGGTGTTGGGGACCTGGTAGAGACCAAGATAGAAATTACTACCTCTGATCATTTGGGAATAGGAAAACATGGATATTTTCAAGGTCTGATAATCTAATTCTAGCCTCCTACATGGCAGGTGAAAAGTCTATTAATAAAGTGCCCATGATGCCTATTCTGTCATCTTTTAGATTTTGTTTGTGTGAGATTAAATTAAATTAATTTTTTCAAATTGTCACCTATTTATTACAGTATCATTATTGCATAGGTGTTTCGTACCCCTTGATTTGTGGTATCTTCAAGACCTAGAGTCTTATCTCTATTATATGGAGGCAGTATAATGTATGTGTCCTGGAGTCAGGCTGACCTGCTTTTAGATCCTAGCTCTTCACTTACTAGCCAGGTACCTTTAGACACGTTGCTTATCCTGTCTGAACTTTTGTTTCTTCATCAGTAAAGTAGGGTGGTAATATTATCTATCGTAGGATTATTGTGACAATTAAATGCAAAAGGGTTAATACTTTTTTTAAAAGGTAATGTATTATTATATTCTTGTCAGGTGGTCTTGATGGAAAATTGCCCTATACGTGATAACACGGTATGTTTCTCTATAGGTGAAAGCAACAAACATAACCAATAAAGCAGCATTTGGTATGGAAATAAGTTGCATCAAGAAAAAGCTCGTAAAGCTAAGTAGTTTTCATTGAATATTTTGCTTCTGAGCAAGGTGCAAGCATATCTACATCATTGCTGGAGGGCGTGTGTTCTTCCATTAGGTCAGTGGAATTGAATTCCCAGTGCGTGTAGGTGAATGGAGTGTCGTATGAGCCTGCACAGCTTAAGATAAAAATGATCACAGAACTCCATCAGATTCTTAGATCCAGACTTCTTTGCCTCTCACATGCCAGGGACATTACTGGTCCTGGCCCTTATTATATTTTGATTTGTTCCTCTTGTCCTGACCTCAACTTCATACCTCTTTTCATTCTTGCTTCTGGTCACAGTCGTGGGTCTTGGCTTATTCTGTTGCTGGATACACTAGGCTCCTTTTCTGCATTTGCCTTCCTTTTCACACTCTTAGCAAGTCCCCTTGTGTAGTTTTCAAATTCACAGGGCGGCAGAAGGAGCAGGTGGCCAACGGAACACCGGGAAGGTGGAATGGGGGGCTGAGGAAAAGAGGGAGAGCCTTGTAACCAGTGCCCACTCATCACCCGTGGTTCTCAGCTCTTCAGCAAAAGCTCTGGGGAAAGAGAGGATCCGTGGACTTCCTGTAATCCTAAAAAAGAATGTGTTTTTTTCTTTTTCACTCCTAACTTAAACTAGATTGTGTCTCAACTCTGATCTGTCCATTGGTTGGCATCACCTTCAAATATCTATAAGAAAGAAGGCATTTTGGGGAAAGATTTCAATCTGTTTATAGTGAACATAATTAGGGGGAAGTCATAGAAGCAGTGGAGGTCAGTGACTGCACCAGGATGAAAATTGTTTTGTTTTAAGGGTGATGTCATCTCTGAGCAAAGTGAAATGAGCCAGGAGGCAAATGAGAATGTAGACAGGTCTGCCCAATTCCTTTTAAAGCCCCAGAAACCCATTCAGCCTTACATCTGCTCGACTCTGGATGATTTTCAGGAAGAGAGAGACTATTCGGCAAACTACATCTTCCCTCAGCTGAGCGAATTCTGCAATTCCCGGGGTGCGTGTTTCAAAGCTGTGGACCTGAGGTGGTCAGCGTTGAAGGCCCAGGCGCCCTTACCCTTCAATCTATTTAGACAACATTTTTGTCTCCACTAGCGACATCTGAAGCTCTGTCTGGACTGCGTGAACAGCTGCTTTTCCTTTTTTATCTGCTTGCTGGGTCAGACATACGGGGACTTTCTCCCTGACTACTCACCTGTCATGTTCTCCAAGGCAACTGACTTGTCAAGTTTATCCATAATGGAACAGAATCTCTATGTTGCTGCAAAAAACTGTTATCCTTGGGTCCTGGAGAATCCCAACCACAGTCTGATTGAGTTAGAGATCATCCAAGCAGCATTTCTGAATGAGTCTCAATTTCAGTATTTTTACTTTAGGACAGGAACCATGCTGCTGAAGCCTATGGACGAAGAAAAGGAGGACATGCTGTCCGCAGGTTTTCTGTTCAATGATGAGGAAAAATTAAAGATTGGAAAGCTTAAGGCCAAGATTATTAGCAAGGGGCTACCTGTCAGGTTGTACAGAGATCTCTGTGACTTGGGTGAGCCTGGTTCTCAAGGACTGGTTGGTTATGATAGAAAAACTTTACCCAGCCACTTTAATCATGGAAAATATAGGTTAGTAAATATGGAGATAGCTAAGTCTGTTGTCATAGGTCCATGTGTTTTGTATGTCTTCCTTGTGAAAGGAATTTTTAAATGGTTGAAAATATTCCTTGAGCATTTAAAGTTATTACCATATTCCTGTAACATGCATTTCTTCATTTGAAGATTTTTGAAACTGAGAACAAATAGTGGGTCATGGAAGAGGATTTAGGAAGTCAAGGAGCTCAGAGAAGACCTAAAATACCTGGCAGTTAACATGTAGATATAGAGCAGAGGTTCTCAACCAGGGCTGATTTTGCCCCCAAGGGACTTTTGGCTACGTCTTTGGTGTCACATTTTTGGTGTCACAGTTGGGGGTGTACTACTGGCATCTAACAGGTGGAGGTCAGGGTCACTGCTAAACATCCTACAGTGCACAGGACTGCCCCTCATAATAAAGAATTTTCCAACCCAAAATGTCAACAATGCCAAGGTTGAGAAATCCTGATCTAAAGAGGAGAGAACTTTTATTAATTGTCATGTGCTTTTTGCACGTTATCGCATTTAATCTTCAAGGTTTAGCCCTGCAAGCTAGGTGCTCTAATTCCTGTTTTACAGATGAACAAATGAAAGCTGCTGTGTAGCAGTTAAGTGACTTACCTAATGTCACTTCACCAGTGAGGGATCATTCTAGGATTTGAACCCAAGTCCTTTTGACTCCAAAATCCATGCTCGTTTGCCTTCACACTTACTACTCAGAGAGTAAGTGATCCGTGCACCAGTAGCCTCGGCATCACCTAGGAACTTGCTAGAAATGCATTCTGGGTCTATTGAATTAGAATTTGCCTTTTAATAAAGATGACCAGGTGAGTTGCAGGCACATTAAAGTTTGAGACGCACTGCCTGGCATCCTGTTGCCTCTGAATGAAATGGTTACATTTATTCTGAAAATACTGTGTCATGGACATGTACAGATTGAAAAGGGAGGAACAACATCAGAGCAGGGCAGAGATTCTTCACCTAGACAGACTTTGGGAGGGATCTGTGATGCCCTAAATTTATATGAAAAAGAGAATGTTTATATGCAGATGTGTGTTTTGGGTGGTAGGAAGTTGGCCTGTGTCTTTGATCAGATTCTCAAAAGGTTTAATGACCCAAAAAAGATTGTGAGTTACTGTTGTAAGGACCCAATTAATGTGGGAGTGCAAAATGCAGGTGGTGCATTCTCAAATGCTTTCAGGGACCAGGCAGGCATAGTCCTTCTAATATGATAGGGGGGCAGATGGATCTGTAGTCAACTGAATGGAAGGGCGTTGACCCGCCTAAAGTCATTCACATCCATTGTTGGGGTGGGACATGAAATCCCACCTGTGCTGGTCAAACAAAACTCTGCCTACAAGCCAAATTATTTTGGAGTCCTAGAAAAGAATATTGTAACAATCGTTACTCTTTGGGTTGAAAGTGACTCGGACTGGCTCCAACAGACAGGGAATTTTAGTTTATATAACTTTAAAGCCCAGGATTGGGTCTGTGTTCAGCTCAGTCTTCATCCACTGGCTCAAATGAGGTTACCAGGCCCTGGTTTCTCACTATGTCTCTGCATGGCTCTGTTGTCCTGATGTTGCGGGTCCAGCAGGAATGGCTCAAAGTCCTAGGATTAAGCCTTTCTGTCTCTGATTAGCCAGACTTGGACTATATGTTTGTATCTGACTCAGTCACTGGTGCCAGGAGAATGTGATGCACTGACTGGCTAAACTTGGGTCATATGCCACGTCTGGAGCTGGAGGGAGTCAGACCCACTACAATAACATGAAGTGAGAGTTGGGACAAGGTGGGACCCCAAATGATAATCTGGGGCTGTTACTGGGATTACGGTAGGGTGAATAGAAGTTGGGCAGCCCCACAATATCCTGAATATTTACTACGAGCTTGGAGTTTTAGAATGTCCAACAACAGAAATGCTCTCAGATCCAAGATTTTTTAGTTCCTAGTTCTGTGACTTTGAGAAAATGATGTAATATTGGTTAAGCCTTGGTTTCTTCTATTTACTGAGTTAGCATTAACGACCTTGAACTCAAGGTAATGTGTATAATAATGTGTGTAAAATACCTAAAAACAGTGCCTGACACATATTAGGCTAATGAGAATGAATCATAAAAAATGAGTCCTGGGCTTCCCTGGTGGCGCAGTGGTTGGGAGTCCACCTGCCGAGGCAGGGGACATGGGTTCATGCCCCGGTCCGGGAGGATCCCACGTGCCGCAGAGCAGCTGGGTCCGTGAGCCATGGCCGCTGAGCCTGCGCGTGCGGAGCCTGTGCTCCGCAGCGGGAGAGGCCATGGCAGTGAGAGGCCCGCGTATCGCAAAAAAAAAAAAAAAAGAGTCCTGGAAGAATATAGTATATATTTGGCTAAGGCCTGAAGTATGGTTAATAGTGATATTCTTTGACTAGTCTCAATCTGAACTGCATTCATTAATATTTACTAACATGTTCAAGAATCAAGCCTTTCTGTATATTTGGGTTAGAGACAGATTATTTCTCCATAGTATTCTCCTTAGTCTTTGATTTTGGTTATTATTGAAATATTAGCCTGTTTTAGACTTTAGTTTTGAATATGTAATATATGGACTGCATGTCTGCAGTAGAAGGTACAGAATGGATGGATTATTACAGAATCTTCAGAAAAAAGGCTAAATTACTTTTCTTTTGGATCTTCGATACCCTTTAATCACCCAGATAGTTCCAGAATCTCACAGCTTGCGGAGCACAGGCTCTGGATGCGCAGGCTCAGCGGCCGTGGCTCACGGGCCCAGTCGCTCTGCGGCATGTAGGATCCTCCTGGACCGGGACACGAACCCGTGTCACCTGCATCGGCAGGCGGACTCTCAACCACTGCACCACCAGGGAAGCCCTCAGTTCATACTCTTGACCTTCAGAAGCACTCTGAGGTCCTTGGAGATGCCTGAGACTAGTGGGTGAGGTTCAGGGTGAGCTAAAGAGATCCATTAGACTGTGGGATCATTTCCAATTCTATCTAAGATCTTGAAATTTGAAGCTAACCTTGGCCAAACTGTTGGTCCTCTAGGTTATTCTGGCCCTAACCTGAGCCACAAGGCAGCCCAGTTAACTAAGGGGGTATAAGATAGCTTGAGACCTTACCAGGTTAAACTACCTGATGTTCATTTTCCTGCCTCACTGCATGTAAAAAAAAAAAAAAACCCACCCAAACTCTGGGAGATGTAGGTGTCTCCAGAGACAGGAGGACATTTTGGCAGTCCAGAACACCTTGACTTTAATTAGGCAATGAGTTTAGAAACACAGTGCCTTGAAACTAGAAGGAGTCTCAGAGATCCAGTTGTCTGGCCCTGCTACTTATTTTACCTGGGAATTTAAGGGACTTGCCCAGTGGCAGAGTTGCAGCTGTACCCATGGTTGTCATTGGGCATCTTATCTTAAAAATACACTCCACTCCCCCAACCATTGCCATGGATAGAAACATACACATATGCCACGAGATTGAATTAGGTAACTTCATATTTAGCTAACAGTCTAAAAATACAAGATGATATATGTAGCAAATCCAATTTTTTTTTTTTGCCTTGGTCACTCTGAGGTCATGAAATAACTTGGAATCCTACATAGGATTTCATGTACAAATAGCATTAAGATTAAATTGCTTGCCTATAGCTTCCTTTCATTAGAATGTAGAATGGGCTATGAAATTTGGTGCTAACATAGAAAGAAGGTGGTATAGACACAGAAGGGGAGATACTTTCCTTGGTATTCATAATAACCATGTGTAATGGAAAATGCAAAACTATAAATCTAAGGTATTAAAACATATCTTTTTGTGTCTAAAGACTTCAAGCACAACTTTGAACGTTTCTATCACGAAGAGTTCACTGAGAAGTGCAAGGAAGTGTTTGTTATTTCCAAGGAGTCAAACAGAACCTTTGAAATCTTGGAAAGATTTGCCTTAAAGGATGTGGAATTTGATTTTAATAATGCCGCAGCAGGCCCCAGCCTATCTATTCTCAGGTAAGATGTCAAGAAATCCCAAGCAAAGCAGCCTGACTTTAGTGAATATGATCCCCCAAATTTGGAATTTCCTCCCTCACCCCTTTCTATGTCCATCCTTGCCTGCAAGAGAGGCTCCCTAAAAGTCACCCCCAGGTTAGAATCTCCTTATCAGTTATCACTCTGCAACTGCCAAGTTACTTCCCTTCAGTCTCCTCAAGAAGATTATAAATGCTGGAGGGCAGAGAGCTTGCCTTCTTTTTTAATCCCATAGATCAAAGTTGGTCTAAATCATTCCTGTCAGTGATGGAATGATTTTAAGGAGAAGAAACTGGATTAGGAAATATGAATAATGCATCTGTACAGTATTGTATAATTTACAAAGAGCTTCCATCATCAGCTCATTATTAATTACATTAAGATATTCGGCCAATACTTGTTAATTGCCGACTATGGGCCATAGCATTATTTGCGTTTGTGAGAATCGAGTTATCTTACCCAAAGTTTGCACTCCTTCACTGTTTTATCCAGCGTCGTCTGCATTAAAACCCCCATATCTTTTCCCACTCCGGGTGCTGACATGCTCTGTTCGCCACCCACAGGCATGAAGAGACTGGGGCATGAGGAAAGAATTGGGTTTGTCTGTGGTGTCCTTTCCAGTCTCAACCCTAGAAATAGGGAGGTTCTTGGGATCATTTTATTTTCTTCCATCCTCACCCTCCAGTTCTTATTACAGATCTCATTTATTCTGTGAGAGTTTGGGGATTTGAAATAAACTCGCAGTGGCTAGGGTGGCTCAAGGTTTGCTCCACCATGTGTGCCACGGTCTCAGCACCCACTATGATGTGCAGAGCTACGAACATTCTTGTGGTTCTGGGAACCCATGCCAAGAGGAAGACAATTGGTTAAAACAACATGGCGCTCAGTCAAGGTTTTTGAAACTACAAGAGTATGAAATATATGTCATCTGTTAAAAATCTTAGGTTTGAATAGGCAAGTCCATAGAGACAGAAAGTAGGTTAGTGGCTGTCAGGGGATGAGAGTAGAGGGGAACCGGGACATGACCCCTAATGGGTCTGGAGTTTCTTTCTGGGGTCCTGAAAGTGGTCTGGAATTAGATAGTGATGATATTTACTATATACTAAGTATACTAAAACCAACTGTATACTTTAAAATGGTGGATTTTTTTGGTATGTGAATTATATCTCACTTAGGTTATAATTTTAAGTATTTCAGAGTGGATGAGACATTTAATAAATTTTATTGCAATTACACAACTCCAGTTGTGCCCAATCAAAACACAGCAATTAAATAAGTCCTTTGAGATTAGCTGTGTGGAAGCAGGGCTTTGCCATTTGGAAACAACACTTTGTATTGTAAGTTCCTGAATAGTGTGTGCAGCTAACGGGAAAGGGTGTTCTTTTGGAGTTTCAAAGCATTTTCTTAATAACCAACCATCTAGAGCAATAGCGTTCTCTTTTTTTTCTCTTTTGAAGGGAGCCACAGTTTGCTTTGCAATGTTTTCATTTTCTATTTGTTCTTGAGAAGAAATCATTAAGACCCTAGCTTATTTATGGGGGTATATTATATTTGTATTTTTCCTTCATTGGTTTTTACCTGCTAAGTGCCCAAACATGTTTTAGACACAGGGGATACAGCAATGAACAAAAGACAAACATCCTTGCCTCCATGGAGCTTGTATTATGGAGACACGCAACAGACATGATACATATGGAAAATATGTAGTAGGCTAGATGCCTGTAAGTGCTATGGAGCAAGATGAAACCCTGAAAGGGAATAGGCCATCTGGTAGGAGAGAAGGTGGCATTTGGGTAACTGCTAGAAGCAGGTGAGGGAACAGGCTTTGCCAATGTGAGTTGGAAGAGTATTCCAGACAGAGGGAACAGCAAACACAGAGGTCCTGAGGCTGGAGGAACGGCAGGGAGGCCAGACAGCTGGAAGGAAGTCAGAGCTGTAGGGAGGGTGATGGGGTGAGGTTGGAGATGTAAGGGATGAGAGGAGGGTCTTGTCTGTTCTCATGCATCATTGTAAGGACTTAGACTTTTACTTCTTTTGAGCAGGGCAATGACCTATATGACATTTGATAAGTTCACTCTGGTGGCTTGGCTGACGAGAGACTGAAAGAGGGCAAAGGTGAAAGTGGGGCATCAAATCCAATCCAATCCTGCCATTCAAATTTGATGGTGAGATGACTAAAGCAATAAGGCATTGATTCCTAACTCATAGTCATGGAGATGGAATTCTTATGGAGTAACTACTATGTAATGAGCCTGCTATAGGTTTTCTATTTCAATAGGTTTTCAGACTGATCCTCTTGCTTTGCTGAACCTGAGTGTCAGGTTTGTTTATTTTATTTCATTCACTCAATCAACTATTTATGATCAGGTACTGTGCCAGTCACTAACTATCCAGTAGTGAGTTAGGTAAGCCTGGTAAGTGCCCACGTGGAACTTACATCAATGAAAAATCACTAGACACATATTTATTAAATTACGTGAGGAACAGGGCTGGAGTCTTTATGCAGTGATACTCATGGACCTGGGACTCCTCTGCATTTCCAGAAGCTTTTCACTGAAAAAATCTAAGCAACAGGACAAGCAGGGCCGGCTGGCTCCAGCATCATTTAGCATCACTGCCTCAGCTACGAAGCTGGCTTTTCCCCCGGGGAGGTAGACGTGGGCAGGGGAGTAGGAGCGGCTCCTGAGAGCACAGCTGGGCCTGGGAGGTCACGAGCAGATTCAGCTTCTTTGCAGAGAGCATTTTCTCGTGCCCGCCTCAGCTGTCCACAGCTGCAGCTCCTGCGTGGGCTCTGAGCCTGGGCGCCTCCCTAGTGGGGATGCTGAAACGCCCCTGGGTGAAGCTGACATTTCTGCTCCCCACCCACACCCTCGCTGGCCAGGATAAAGGGATCTAGCAAGAGGAGAACTGCCCGCCCACCCATATCCAGCTCTCCCAACCCAAGTGCCCTTGCCTGCCCTGCAGCTGACATCCCCTCTGTGACAGGCTTCACAGAAGGTCAAAGTAGAGCCACCGCTTTTCCTACTTACATGTTTCCTTGCCCTGTTACTCCGGACCCTGGTGGCAGCCCTGACTAACAAGGAGTTCCATTTATTTATTTATTTTAATAAATTTATTTATTTATCTTTGGCTGTGTTGGGTCTTTGTTGCCGTGCACGGGCTTCTTCTGGTTGCATCGAGCGGGGGCTACTCTTCGTTGCGGTGCGCGGGCTTCTCATTGCGGTGGCTTCTCTCGTTGTGGAGCACAGGCTCTAGGCACGTGGGCTTCAGTAATTGTGGCATGTGGGCTTCAGTAGTTGTAGCATGTGGGCTCTAGAGTGCGGGCTCAGTAGCTGTGGCACACGGACTTAGTTGCTCCGCGGCATGTGGGATCCTCCCGGACCAGGGCTCGAACCCATGTCCCCTGCATTAGGAGACGGATTCTTAACCACTGCGCCACGAGGGAAGTACCGGAGTTCCATTTATTAAAGGCTTTTCAAGTGCCAGGTGCTGTGGCTAAGGGCTTCATCAGCATCTCTCTCTCGTTTTTTTTATTTTTTATTTTTGGCTGCATTGGGTCTTCGTTGCTGCACGCGGGCTTTCTCTAGTTGTGTTGAGTGGGGACTACTCTTCCTTGCGGTGCGCGGGCTTCTCGTTGTGGTGGCTTCTCTTGTTGCGGAGCGCAGGCTCTAGGCACACGGGCTTCAGTAGTTGTAGCACGTGGGCTCAGTAGTTGTGGCTCACCGGCTCTAGAGCGTAGGCTCAGTAGTTGTGGCACATGGGCTTAGCTACTCCATGGCATGTAGGATCTTCCTGGACCAGGGCTCGAACCCGTGTCCCCTGCATTGGCAGGCAGATTCTTAACCACTGCGCCACCAGGGAAGCCCCCAAGAGGTCTTTCTTGATATAATAGTACAGTTATGCTTCTGTGAAATAGTTACCCTCTCCACTTGTACACAATAGATTAAAGATGCTTGCTACATACAGTGCATAGACAGTTCAATAATTAGAACCAACTCAACTGTGTTTGAAATAAAATAGCTTATTTAGTCATTTAAAGTAAAACAACTATACATATGAAAATAAAGATATGTAAATGTTAGGATCTACAAGCCTGTAAAAATAAAATCATTCTGCATTATACAAAACAGTGCAAGACAAATTCTAAATAAGCTTTTGGAGCACAAATTATAAATTTTCCATTTTAACTTATCATGCAGACATAGCATTTCAAACCATGTTATAGTCTATAGCCAGGTTCTTAATTTTTAAGAGGAAAAAATGCTAGTCAGTAAATTTTACTGTATGATTAAGTGTCACATACCATAAAATATTGACATCTCATTTAATGCTCTCAGTAAGCCCTTGACAGCATTATCGTCCCAGATAAAGCGATGGGACGGATGGCTGGGTCACACAGCTACACGTGGGCAGAGCAGGGAGTTCAAACTCCGGTCTTTGTTGTGTTCAAAGCCCCGACTCCTCATTACTGAACTGTCTTGCCCCTTTGAGCCAACAGAGGGACATTTCTCTCTTTTGGATGATTTCCATCGGGGTCCTCTGCCAGCATCGATTATCAGGAGAGTCTGCAGAGAGGTCATTGATGTGGAACGGGTGGAAATACTAGCAGGAATCCTTGGCAGCCCTTGCCAGACCCTTGTGCACTGGGCTCGGCTGACTTCTCCAGCCTTTTGCTCCAAGGGGATGGTTTCTTTGGAGCAGCCAGTCATGTCCATCCCTCTGAGTCTGCCCACTCAGTTCCCTTCTCCTGGAATGCCCTCCACTTTCCTCAGGTCAGAGAAATCCTTCTCATCTCTTACAGCCCTATTTAAAGGTCACCCTCTCTAGAAGGGGGGCTGATGGGTGCCTCTCTCCCTCACCCCTAACTTTGATCAGGTGGCAAGGATAGCCCCAGTCCCAGTGTATTCTAGTTTACGTGGATGTCTCCCTGCAAATACTGTCAGCTTGCCTTTCTGGGCCCTCGGGTGACTCACACCTGGTCC